AATCCCATTTCCGTTGCAACAAAAAATTAAGATACCTAGGAATAAAGTTAACTAAGGAGGTAAAAGATGCAAATTATAACAACAATGAGATATCATCTCATACCTGTCAGAATGGCTACCATCAACAAATCAACAAACAGCAAGTGTTGGTGAGGATGTGGACAAAAAGGAATCTTCAAGCACTGTTGGTGAGATTATAAATTGGTGTAGCCATTAACAAATGTAGTATGGACGATCCTCAAAAAATTATGGAACTGTCTTATGACACAGCAATTTCACTGCTGAGTATTTATTCAAAGAAATCTGAAACACTAATTCCAAAAGATATATGCACCCCCCCATGTTAATTACAGCATTATTTACAATAGCCAAGATATGTAAGAAACCTAAGTGTCCATCAATAGATGCATGGATAAAGAAGAGGTGGTACACATTCAATGAAATATTGCTCAGCCATAAAAAAGAACGAAATTTTGTCATTTGCAAAAACATAGATGAACCTTGAGACCCATGCTAAGTGAAATAAGCCATGCTGTAAAAGACAAATACCATATGATTTCACTTACATGTGGAATCTGAAAAAAACAAAATAACAAACAAACAAAACAGAAACAAACTCATAGACACAGAGAACAAATTGATGTTTGCTAGATGGGAAGGGTGTCCGGGAATGGATGAAAAAGTGAAGAAATTAAGCATAAATTTCTGGTTATAAAAAGAGTCACAATGATGTAGAGCAGTGGTTCTCAACCTTCCTAATGTCATGACCCTTTAATACAGTTCCTCATGTTGTGGTGACCCCCAACCATAAAATTATTTTCATTACTACTTCATAACTGTAATTTTGCTACTGTTATGAATCGTAATGTAAATATCTGATATGCAGGATGTATTTTCATTGTTACAAATTGAACATAATTAAAGCATAGTGATTAATCACAAAACAATATGTAATTATGTGTGTGTTTTCCAATGGTCTTAGGTGACCCCTGTGAAAGGGTTGTTCGACCCCCAAAGGGGTCACGAACCACAGTTTGAGAACTGCTGATGTAGAGTATAGCATAAGGAATATAGGCAATAATATTATAAAAACTATGTATATTGTCAGATGGTTACTAGACTTATTGGAGTGATCACTTGTAAGATATAAAATGTCTAATCAATAAAAACTGAAACTGACATAATATTGTAAATTAAGTATTATAAAAAAATAAAAAGTTGTGTCCTGATTTAAAAAGAAAGAATAAACAGGTGTCAAGAAAGAACTCATACTGGATGTTATGGAGTGCATACAGGAAGCTTTCTAAAATAGATGCAAATTCCAGAAGTCAAAAGTGGAAAACACTGTAAAAGATGATTAAAAATGAAAACTATGTATTGCTAAAGCAACGTACAATTAGACATAATTCAGAGACCGTCTAGGCAAAAGGATTGTACCTTATTAATAAATCAGGGATTCAATCCACAGTATATAAAGAGCACAACAAATAAGAAAGGGGGAGTAAATGTCCCAATCCAACAGAAAACTGTATTAAATATCAGACATATCACAAAAGAAAATGGTATAATGTTCAGTAATAATATGAAAAAATTACTCAGTATTACTAACAATCGGAATTAACAAAAACAATAATAAGTTAATACTTGCCAATCAAAAGAGCAAACATTTGGAAATTATATTTATGAGGTGGAGAGATCTGGTAAAACAAGCATTCTCAGACTATATTGGCAGAAGAACAGAATGATAAGTTTCTATGGTGTGTACAGAAAGATATGTGCAAGGTTTATGACCATGACATAATTTGTAATCATGAAATTGGAAGCAAAGTATACTGTGATGACTAGATCAACATTCAGTTCTGTATTAAAGGTAAGGAGATTTCCAAGATGTATCATAAGGTGGAAACACATGAGAGAACACTTTACATAAAATAATCCTGTTTATGTTTTTAAAAATGTATTTAGTGCTTACTCTGTGGCAGGCATTACTCTGAACTTTTTGTATATTTTACCTTTCTTAATCCTCATAAAACAGATTAATGAATCTCAGAGGGAAGGGGAGGCACGGGAGAGTTTAACCAAAGAATTATATGCATATATGCATAACCCATGGTCATAGACAATAGTTTGGTGAAGGCTTGGGGGAGAAGGGTGAGGGAGGAGGGCGTCAAAGGGGGGAAAAGAAATATTTGTAATACATTCAACAAAAAAGATTTTAAAAAATTCTACGAATAGATAGTATTACTACCCTCATTTTACAGATTAAAAAATAGACTCAGAGAGTGCAATTTGCATAAAGTCACACAAATGAGAAGGGATTCAAACCAAAGTGACTTGGTTTCTGTTAGGTCTGATCAAATAATTGAATCCATGTTCCCCTCCCCTGGGAAACTGACCTTTAGATCGTTTGGCAACTGACATTCCCTTTAGCTTAGACCACCTTCCATTTGCTAAGACCAGGAACTATCCCCTCCTGACTTGACCCGGATCTGGACCTGTCCAGAGAATTCCCCACTGAAAAAGTCTGCCTAGAGTCTTTTAAAATCTCTGACTCCCCATCCTTGGGTGCTGGCGCCACTTTGGGGCTCAACACATCTGGTTTCTAGATGACCTAATCCTATCTAATAATAGACAAACATGGTAATTAACCATACCTCCGCTACGCTTCCCATTGGCTAATCAGGGCGATATTCAAATTAACTGCCAACCAAGATGGCGGCCGGCAGCCAGGCAGCTGAAGTGAACATGAGGCTTGGTTGCCTCGGCGATGGAAGAAGCCAAGATTCCCCGCCTACCTCGGGCCCAGCTCTGAGCTGCACTCTAAGCAACTATGTTGCAATTATAGAAGCTAAACAAACCCCAGGTACCTGCTTTCAGCCAGCCAGCCTCAGAGCTGGAGCCGCAACAAAGTTTCAATTACAGAAGGTATATCAATCCCAGAATAAAAAAATAAAAATAAAAAAAGGAGAGACTGGGAGCTTCAGTTGCAGGCTTGGCCCGCCTGAAAACAGCCCTCAGCCCCTCATCCAGGCTGGTCAGGCACCCCAGTGGGGACCCCCACCCTGAAGGGGGTGCGAGCAGCCTGAAAACAGCC